AACAATAACTTATATCATCATAACCATATCCAGTCAGTAAACAATAACTTATATCATCAAAATCATATCCAGTCAGTAAACAATAACTTACATCATCAAAATCATATCCAGTAAATTAACAATAACTTATATAGGAGGGGATTAAACTGTACTCGCTGGGGCAACGGATATAAACAACATGGAAGCCCAAAACATTCAGATACAAATTTCCGCGAACTTCAATGTAGTGAATTGGATAATATTTTAAAGTCAAAAGGTATCACCCACTCCAAAAAAGAAAAAATATGAGCTAGTCCACCTATGATAGCAATCAGACATGTTAAATATTATCCAGATATTGAAAAAGAGGACGAAGCTAAAGCTTCACAGGTGTGACGAACCGTCAGCGGTGTACAGAGTATCGTGTTACCTTTATGTAAATGAAACGTCAGAAAGCTTGTTTTGGACAAACAACTTTATTGGGATGTCATCAATAGATGCATTGGATGTGACCTCTATTCGTTATGAGTTTTATTTTTGTCGGTCCAAAATACGAGTTCCTAGAAGGAAAACTGACAAGGGTAAGCCTTACCAGCTACACTGCAATGACCACATCCATGACGTGTCGATGGCCGTATTTGGTACTGTAGGTGTATTTAAAACATGCAACACGGTATGGAAATCGACATGTATTCTAGGCCATTTTTGTCAAATAATAGTTCTGGAAATTAAAGAAATAATGACAGCTATCTTGGAATTCCGTTCAATGTCAAGAAACAGACATGTGTTTCAGGATTATCTTTATATACGTAGCTACATCACCGGATGGCTTTTTTGTATGTAAATGATGTAATACTGGTGTTCTAGAAATAAAGTGCATACTTGCCAACCTTTTTAAATTTCCATGAGGGATTTCCACACGCTCTAATTTATAAACATAAATAATTTTATATATCTCCCTTGAGAAAAATACCTGTTTAAACCTACTTTGAGTTGTTCATTCACAGGAATAGTTTAGCTAAATCACTTGTTGAAAAATTAAATTCTAGGCCCTCCTTCATGACATTCTTCTGCTCAACTTGGATTCTGCACTTAATTTGATCCCAATACTGTCTCAAGTGTTTACACTTGTCATTTTGATGATCTGACCTGATTTAAGTGTTTACACTTGTCATTTTGATGATCTGACCTGATTTAAGCGAATTACCAAGAAGCTAGGTTTGATGCTTGAGCATAAATACAGGCCCAGTAATATCTGTAATGTCGAGTATTTTTGTTTTCATTTTTGTTCAGATTACAAATAAAGTTATCTATATTGAAAGAATTCCATTTGATCCTGTAAAATGTCAAATTCTTTTCTCCAAGATATGACATTCTATGAAACCTTTCTTTTTCCTCTCAGCTCTATGCTGAATTTGAAACATTGAAAATACAAGAAAATATCTCAATTAAAAGTGACTTTTTTTCTATTTATTACATGTACATTTTAAAATAATATGATATGACACATCAAGCAATTAAAGTTTTACACATTATTTGATTATATCTGTGTAGGCTATATTGAATAACAATCATTCTTGTATTTCCATGATTTTGCACAAATTATAACAAATTAATATAACTTGTATACAAAATAAAGCATTCAAAGTGTGATGTATCTTGCAAGAACTACATGTGCTGGCCTGGGGGGCTCCTGAGCTGCTCGGTTTCTGTGTAATATAGCTCAGTTCAATTAATAACAAACAGTAGTGTCGGGGTATTTTAGATTGCCATGCTATTCTTAAATTTGTCTCTGGATGACTATTTAATCAGAGGATCTAAATTTCCGCACAAAATAAAAACCACCTTGAAAATAATGAGGACAATTGGCCGAAATATATCCCAAACGACACAGCCAGGAAAAAAAAAATTGCATCAAAACAAATTCCTCTGTTAAAGTCAGCTTCCTTGCAATTGACACTTCTGGTTTTACATGTCTATCTTGTTGACTGATCAGAAGCAATGACTTTTTTTGTGATAGTATCGTCTGAATGAAGTTGCTGTTTCAGGGTGTCATTCTCTTTCTTCAATCTTGCATTCTCTTCTGTTAGATTGGCACATGTTGTCTGGAAATAGCATACAATATTATATATGATGAAAAGGATTTATCAAAAAATATCAAAACCTACCAAAGCTAGCTGTGACCATTAATTACTCTGGAGTGGTTATTATTACAACATTATAAGTGTGATATCAAAAATTATGATGTCACAATCAATGGTTATGATGTCACAATCAATGGTTATGATGTCACAATCAATGGTTATGATGTCACAATCAATGGTTATGATGTCACAATCAATGGTAATGCTTATTTTGTTAGGAATAGCTGGTCAATGATATCTTTTCCTTTATCAAGAATCAACTTAATGTTTAAAGCAGAAATATACCAAAAAATAATTAGTAAATTTGTAAAAGTCAAAGAAAATATAAGTATAAGTATTGAACAGCATTCTGTTCAGTCTAATAGTGCTGAAAGATTTGCATTACAGTGTAAACAGTTCAGCCTGGAATGAGTATCTTTCAGTCTCATATGACAATAACTTATAAAAATAAGAACAAGAGAATGAGTATAATTTTGCTATAAAGCTGCAGTTTAAGTTGTAAAGACTACAAATATGCATTTGTTTAATTTCTTTTATATTTCTAATACCAAAACAAGGGATTGCTTCAGTTTTGACAAATAGTTCAAGTATATTACACTACAGTGACAGCTATTTAACATATGATTGTGTACTTAAAGTCATGGGTAACACACAGTTCAAGTAAAAGAGGAATCTATTGTGTCGAATACATATTGTAGATTCTGTCATGGATAACATTAGACTGCTTAATATTGAGCTGTTTAGTATCAATGTCTGTATTAAATTAACATACTTATCATACCTGCAAAGAACCTATTTTGTCCTGAAGCTCTGTTACTTGACCGTACTTCCTGGCTGGACCCACACATATATAAGGATGGTCCTGGGTATTGCCTGCATACTGATCAAGTTGTACATCTACAAAATTGTTCACAGATGTGTAGAATATCAAAATTATCACCAACCCATCCAGCGGTATTCATAAAGGTCTATTTTAAACACCATCTTGTATCAAATAAAGCATTTTAGGTAAGATGAGGTTCACCTTATTAGTAATAGAAAATGTCACATTGTTGTCAGGGAAGGCCCGGTAGGGGAACTAAGATAGATACTACTACAGGGTAGGGGGACTAAGATAGATACTACTACAGGGTAGGGGGACTAAGATAGATACTACTACAGGGTAGGGGGACTAAGATAGATACTACTACAGGGTAGGGGGACTAAGATAGATACTACTACAGGGTAGGGGGACTAAGATAGATACTACTACAGGGTAGGGGGACTAAGATAGATACTACTACAGGGTAGGGGGACTAAGATAGATACTACTACAGGGTAGGGGGACTAAGATAGATACTACTACAGGGTAGGGGGACTAAGATAGATACTACTACAGGGTAGGGGGACTAAGATAGATACTACTACAGGGTAGGGGGACTAAGATAGATACTACTACAGGGTAGGGGGACTAAGATAGATACTACTACAGGGTAGGGGGACTAAGATAGATACTACTACAGGGTAGGGGGACTAAGATAGATACTACTACAGGGTAGGGGGACTAAGATAGATACTACTACAGGGTAGGGGGACTAAGATAGATACTACTACAGGGTAGGGGGACTAAGATAGATACTACTACAGGGTAGGGGGACTAAGATAGATACTACTACAGGGTAGGGGGACTAAGATAGATACTACTACAGGGTAGGGGGACTAAGATAGATACTACTACAGGGTAGGGGGACTAAGATAGATACTACTACAGGGTAGGGGGACTAAGATAGATACTACTACAGGGTAGGGGGACTAAGATAGATACTACTACAGGGTAGGGGGACTAAGATAGATACTACTACAGGGTAGGGGGACTAAGATAGATACTACTACAGGGTAGGGGGACTAAGATAGATACTACTACAGGGTAGGGGGACTAAGATAGATACTACTACAGGGTAGGGGGACTAAGATAGATACTACTACAGGGTAGGGGGACTAAGATAGATACTACTACAGGGTAGGGGGACTAAGATAGATACTACTACAGGGTAGGGGGACTAAGATAGATACTACTACAGGGTAGGGGGACTAAGATAGATACTACTACAGGGTAGGGGGACTAAGATAGATACTACTACAGGGTAGGGGGACTAAGATAGATACTACTACAGGGTAGGGGGACTAAGATAGATACTACTACAGGGTAGGGGGACTAAGATAGATACTACTACAGGGTAGGGGGACTAAGATAGATACTACTACAGGGTAGGGGGACTAAGATAGATACTACTACAGGGTAGGGGGACTAAGATAGATACTACTACAGGGTAGGGGGACTAAGATAGATACTACTACAGGGTAGGGGGACTAAGATAGATACTACTACAGGGTAGGGGGACTAAGATAGATACTACTACAGGGTAGGGGGACTAAGATAGATACTACTACAGGGTAGGGGGACTAAGATAGATACTACTACAGGGTAGGGGGACTAAGATAGATACTACTACAGGGTAGGGGGACTAAGATAGATACTACTACAGGGTAGGGGGACTAAGATAGATACTACTACAGGGTAGGGGGACTAAGATAGATACTACTACAGGGTAGGGGGACTAAGATAGATACTACTACAGGGTAGGGGGACTAAGATAGATACTACTACAGGGTAGGGGGACTAAGATAGATACTACTACAGGGTAGGGGGACTAAGATAGATACTACTACAGGGTAGGGGGACTAAGATAGATACTACTACAGGGTAGGGGGACTAAGATAGATACTACTACAGGGTAGGGGGACTAAGATAGATACTACTACAGGGTAGGGGGACTAAGATAGATACTACTACAGGGTAGGGGGACTAAGATAGATACTACTACAGGGTAGGGGGACTAAGATAGATACTACTACAGGGTAGGGGGACTAAGATAGATACTACTACAGGGTAGGGGGACTAAGATAGATACTACTACAGGGTAGGGGGACTAAGATAGATACTACTACAGGGTAGGGGGACTAAGATAGATACTACTACAGGGTAGGGGGACTAAGATAGATACTACTACAGGGTAGGGGGACTAAGATAGATACTACTACAGGGTAGGGGGACTAAGATAGATACTACTACAGGGTAGGGGGACTAAGATAGATACTACTACAGGGTAGGGGGACTAAGATAGATACTACTACAGGGTAGGGGGACTAAGATAGATACTACTACAGGGTAGGGGGACTAAGATAGATACTACTACAGGGTAGGGGGACTAAGATAGATACTACTACAGGGTAGGGGGACTAAGATAGATACTACTACAGGGTAGGGGGACTAAGATAGATACTACTACAGGGTAGGGGGACTAAGATAGATACTACTACAGGGTAGGGGGACTAAGATAGATACTACTACAGGGTAGGGGGACTAAGATAGATACTACTACAGGGTAGGGGGACTAAGATAGATACTACTACAGGGTAGGGGGACTAAGATAGATACTACTACAGGGTAGGGGGACTAAGATAGATACTACTACAGGGTAGGGGGACTAAGATAGATACTACTACAGGGTAGGGGGACTAAGATAGATACTACTACAGGGTAGGGGGACTAAGATAGATACTACTACAGGGTAGGGGGACTAAGATAGATACTACTACAGGGTAGGGGGACTAAGATAGATACTACTACAGGGTAGGGGGACTAAGATAGATACTACTACAGGGTAGGGGGACTAAGATAGATACTACTACAGGGTAGGGGGACTAAGATAGATACTACTACAGGGTAGGGGGACTAAGATAGATACTACTACAGGGTAGGGGGACTAAGATAGATACTACTACAGGGTAGGGGGACTAAGATAGATACTACTACAGGGTAGGGGGACTAAGATAGATACTACTACAGGGTAGGGGGACTAAGATAGATACTACTACAGGGTAGGGGGACTAAGATAGATACTACTACAGGGTAGGGGGACTAAGATAGATACTACTACAGGGTAGGGGGACTAAGATAGATACTACTACAGGGTAGGGGGACTAAGATAGATACTACTACAGGGTAGGGGGACTAAGATAGATACTACTACAGGGTAGGGGGACTAAGATAGATACTACTACAGGGTAGGGGGACTAAGATAGATACTACTACAGGGTAGGGGGACTAAGATAGATACTACTACAGGGTAGGGGGACTAAGATAGATACTACTACAGGGTAGGGGGACTAAGATAGATACTACTACAGGGTAGGGGGACTAAGATAGATACTACTACAGGGTAGGGGGACTAAGATAGATACTACTACAGGGTAGGGGGACTAAGATAGATACTACTACAGGGTAGGGGGACTAAGATAGATACTACTACAGGGTAGGGGGACTAAGATAGATACTACTACAGGGTAGGGGGACTAAGATAGATACTACTACAGGGTAGGGGGACTAAGATAGATACTACTACAGGGTAGGGGGACTAAGATAGATACTACTACAGGGTAGGGGGACTAAGATAGATACTACTACAGGGTAGGGGGACTAAGATAGATACTACTACAGGGTAGGGGGACTAAGATAGATACTACTACAGGCTAGGGGGACTAAGATAGATACTACTACAGGCTAGGGGGACTAAGATAGATACTACTACAGGCTAGGGGGACTAAGATAGATACTACTACATGTACCAGCACTCACTATAATTATAAGTTTGCTTTTTATCAGTTTATTATATTAAATATTTACAAGTTTTGATTTATCAACACTACAAATAATTTCATAAAAATGGTTATTTTGTAATGAATTATTACCTAAACCAATGCCGGCACCTGCTGTATAAGTGTGTGTGTCACTGAATTCCACCACCCCGGCAACATAGGGGCTTATAGCACACGTCGGATTTGTCACTGGTTAGCTTAACGAGTCTCATCCTCTTCCTTGGAACGGCCGGATCATGCTGGATTACATGTTCCAAGGGTTTACACAACCTATTTCTGATAGAACTTTCAATGTTCAGAGACTTTTTTTCCTTGAAGTCATTGCAATCGAAAATAGTGGGGAACGGGTTTTCAATACTGGGTTGCCCATCAACGAAATGCTTCGAACACACAACGTAATGTCTGATGTCTGCATAGAGACTTTTACCTAATTTATTGGCGATATGTTTCTCTAAGCTGTCTCTCATTACAAGTTGCAACCATTTTTTCCTGACACAGTTTACCTTTGGAATTTGGGAAAATGTTGTGTCCGGGTCATGATTTCTGGCCGATTGTTTTGCCCCCGTATCCTCGCATTCTCTCGCGAGACTTGTGCATTTTCCAGCAAGAACTCTTCGAAGGGGAGTAACTCGTGGATGGTCGCGATAACAAGTATTAGTAAACAGTAAGGGTTAGAGTTAGTCAGTAAACATCTATGAAGTGAAGTTCTACAGTATATATTCACCTGTTTGATGGCCAGGTGAAGTTCTACAGTATATACTCACCTGTTTGCTGGCCAGGTGAAGTTCTACAGTATATACTCACCTGTTTGATGGCCAGGTGAAGTTCTACAGTATATACTCGCCTGTTTGCTGGCCAGGTTAAGTTCTACAGTATATACTCACCTGTTTCCTGGCCAGGTGAAGTTATACAGTATATACTCACCTGTTTGCTGTCCAGGTGAAGTTCTACAGTATATACCCACCTGTTTGCTGGCCAGGTGAAGTTCTACAGTATATACTCAACTGTTTCCTGACCAGGTGAAGTTCTACAGTATATACTCACCTGTTTGCTGGCCAGGTGAAGTTCTACAGTATATACTCACCTGTTTGCTGGCCAGGTGAAGTTCTACAG